AGTGTATAATCCTGTTCCTTACATATAATAAGTAGAGGGTATTCCCAACAGCCTAATCATTTAAATGATTCTTTTCAACAGCCTAATCATTTAAATGTTTCTTTCCAACAGCCTAATCATTTGTTTCTTTCCAACAGCCTAATCATTTAAATGTTTCTTCCCAACAGGCTAATCATTTAAATGTTTCTTCCCAACAGCCTAATCAAATACTGTACATGTTTCTTTCCAACAGCCTAATCATTTAAACGTTTCTTACCAACAGCCTAATCATTTAAATGTTTCTTTCCAACAGCCTAATCATTTAAATGTTTCTTTCCAACAGCCTAATCATTTAAACGTTTCTTCCCAACAGGCTAATCATTTATATGATTGTTCACAACAGCTTAATCATTTACACGTTTCTTCCCAACAGGGAAGAAACATTTATGTTTCTTCACAACAGCTTAATCATTTAAATGTTTCTTCACATCAGCCTAATCATTATTATATTTTTTTTTTTAATATTTTACAATAATTTCCCCCAATAGCTTAATTCTTGTTATAATTGTTGTCTTGTTTCCAACCTAATCATTTCCTTTTTTTTTCCAACAGAATATTCATTTATATGATTCTTTCCATCGGCCTAATCATTAATTTTTTTTTGTACTATTTTGCAATATTTTACCCCGATAGCTTGATTATTATTATATTTGTTTTTATAATAAGCATAATCTTATAACTTTTTCCCCACAACCTATGCATTTTTGTTTACTATGCTGAGGTTGTAGAATCATTTTCCTATGCATCATAATCAGTTTTATTTTTCCTTGCAGCCTAATGTGTACAATGTATTACCTATACCTATTTATATATATATATAAATTATCCTCTATAGCCTAATAATATCTATATATGTATTTCCTTGTATCCTATTATTAAAAAAATATTTGAATAGTAAGTGTATAAGCCTGTTCCTTACATATAATGAGTCTATATCAAACAGTGCCCAACAACCTAATCATTTAAATGTTTCTTTCCTACAGCCTAATCATGTACATGTTTCTTCCCAACAGCCTAATTATTTAAATGTTTCTTCCCAACAGCGTAATCACTTAAATGTTTCTTCCCATCAGCCTAATGGTTTAAATGTTTCTTCCCAACATCCTAATTATTTTAACGTTTCTTCCCAACAGCCTAATTATTTAAATGTGAATTCTTATCCTGAATCCTTCTACGTGCTATATATAGTATTCGTAATAGCTTGACACTTTTTTTTTTTTTTTTTTTATATTCCCTGATTTTTTTCCCCTGATTTGATTCCCTGATTCCCTTTTGATTATTTCCCTGATTATTACCTTACCCCATATGGCTTATTTGTTAGATTTTTGTCCTAATAGACTAGCCTAATGCTTTGCCCCACAACCTAATCATTTTCTTTATTTTTATTTTACTTTGCCCAGTTAGTAAAATATTTTTAACTTGTAGCCCAGTTAGTATTATTTTTAACTTGTAGCCCAGTAAGTAAATTATTTTTAACTTGTAGCCCAGTAAGTAAATTTTTTTTAACGTGTAGCCCAGTTAGTAAATTATTTTTAACGTGTAGCCCAGTTAGTAAATTATTTTTAACGTGTAGCCCAGTTAGTAAATTATTTTTAACTTGTAGCATAATTTTTATTTTATTTTCCATATAGCATTTCCCCCTTTGCCATTCTCCCTCGCCATTTCTACACACCTTTCTCCCTCAGTCTTGCGTCCCTCTTGTCTCCCTCGCTCTCCCATTCTCCCCTATCCTTGTCTTCCTCCCATCTTCCCATTTTTCCTGTCTTCCTCCCATTTTTCCATTCTTCCCATATTCCTCCCATTTTTCCCGTCTTCCTCCCATTCTTCCCATATTCCTCCCATTCTTTCCCTGTCTCCCTCCAATTCTTCCCGTATTCCTCCCATTCTTTCCCAGTCTCCCTCCCATTCTTTCCCCGTCTCCCATTGTCCCTCTCTTAGTCTCCCTCCTATATTCCCCCCATGTCTAATGCACCCTCTAAGACTCCCTCCCTATGTTCCACTCCCATTCTCCCTCAGTCTTGTGTCCTTGTGTGGGAGGACACAAGTCTTGCTAGAGAGGGACAGTGCCCCTCCCCATTCTCCCCCTATCTCCACTTCCCATTCTTCCCCTTATCCCTCTTCCCATTCTTCCCCTTATCCCACTCTCCCTTCTGATTCCCCATCAGTCTCGTGTCCCTCTTGTGAGGGGGACACAAGTCTTGTGAGAGGGAATGTCCCTCTCCCTTTCCCATTCTCCCCCTCCCCTATTTCCTTCCCCATATATCCCACTCTCCCTCCAATAGTCCCCACCCCCTATGTCCCACTCGCCCTCCAATACTCTCCACCCCCCTATGTCCTACTCACCCTCCAATACTCTCCACCTCCCTATGTCCTACTCCCTCTATGTCCTAATGCCTCCCACTCTCCCCTATCTCCCATTGTCCCTCATCTCCCTCCCATATTCTTTCCCCGTCCCACTCCCTCAATGTTCCTCCCCATTCTCCTTCCCCCTCTCCATTATCCCGCTCTGTCCTCTGTCCGTTTCTCTCCCTTCTTACATTCTTTATCCTATTCTATTGAGGGAATTGTGAGAGCATAATGTAGGCGTGTGTATGACTGAAACATGAAAGTTTTGTATGTGAATGAAGATTGAAAGAATGTCAACCCTGAGAAGGGCTGCTGAGGCTGGGACGCCAATGAGGGCGTATGGTAAGATTGAAAATTGCATGTCTGGCAAAACAGAAAGGCTAGGACGATAATAAAGGTGCGTGTATGATCGTAAAATGCAACAAGTCTTGCAACAAAGGACTGTTGGACTGGGACGCCAATGAGGGCGTGTGCACGTGAGTGATGATGAAAGTCTGTCAACGTTGAAGGCCTGTTGAGGTTGGGATGCCAATGAGGGCGTATGTGTGAGTGAAGATTGGGGAACTGCTGAGGTTGGGATGCCAATGAGGGCGTATGTGTGAGTGAAGATTTAGGAGCTGCTGAGGTTGGGACGCCAATGAGGGGCGTATGTGTGAGTGAAGATTAAAGAGCTGCTGAGGTTGGGACGCCAATGAGGGCGTATGTATAAGTAAAGATTGTTAGTGGCAATAAAGGAATGCCGAAACTGGGGTGCCAATTGAGGCGTGTGTATAGCTGACATTTCATGTCTTGCAATGCAGGACTGTTGGGCTAGGACGCCAATGAAGGCGTATAGTGTGATTGGAAGATCGCATATCTAGCAATAAACAAAGGCTGGGACGCCAGTGAAGGCGTGTGTATGACTGAAAAAAATGCAAGTTTTGTATGTGAGGGAAGATTGAAAGAATGTCAACACTGAAGGGCTGCTGAGGCTGGGACGCCAATGAAGGCGTATGTATGAATGAAACATGAAAGTTTTGAAATGTGTGTGTTTTGTATGTGAATGAAGATTGAAAGAATGTCAACCCTGAAGGGCTGCTGAGGCTGGGACGCCAATGAAGGCGTGTGTATGAATGAAACATGAAAGTTTTGAAATGTGTGTGTTTTGTATGTGAATGAAGATTGAAAGAATGTCAACCCTGAAGGGCTGCTGAGGCTGGGACGCCAATGAGGGCGTATGGTAAGATTGAAAATAGGATGTCTGGCAATACAGAAGTCTAGGACGCCAATAAAGGCACGTGTATGATCGTAAAATGCAAGTCTTGCAACACAGGACTGTTGGGCTGGGAAGCCAATAAGAGCGTTTGTGATGATAATAATAATAATAATTTTTATTTAGGTAAGGTACATACATAAAGAGAT